TCATTCGATGATCAAACTTGTTTTCAGTATTGTTTTCAAGTCTAGATCTAATCATTAACTGAGAACCGGTGTCGCACTTCTACTTCCTCTTTCGAAGAAGCTTATATTTTCCCTCAAAGCAACATACTCACTATCTGCATAGCCTAACAACCCATGTATTTCACTACTTCTCACACCTTTAATCCTAGTTATCTCCATTGCACTGTAGTTTACTAACGCCCTACCCACTTCAACTCCCGACCCTGCCACAATCTTTGCATCTGGCGAGCTTGGGCGCTCAACAACCACTAGACGCACGGCTTCTTGTTGAGCAAAGCTGCCCTCTACATCTACAATCCCGGCAGGAAGCAGACCAGCTTTGGCCGCCAATGCTCGATGAGCACCGGCATCAATATAGATCGTTCCATGTGGAGAGAGACCATGTAGAAGCCAGAAATAGCGGTCCCGGATCGGTTGATGCGATGGAAGGAATCTGGTATGTAGAGGTGGCTCCATAAGCGACGATGTTACACCAGTAAGAGATAGTGTGGAATTGGATCTCGTAAGAGTTTCTGGTGTCTGTGATTGCGAAACAATATCACCGCTTTTACCGCCCAAAGTGGAGTTTTTGAGGGATTGAACATAGCTCACTATACTTGCAATGTTTCCTGGGCTAGAGGACCGTGTTATGACAGTTGTTACACCTGCAGAGGTGGCTAGACGGGCAGCAACTATCTTTGTGGACATTCCCCCTGTACCGAGGCTAGAGCCAGCACTTGATACTGAAGACGGAAAGTTAGTGTGTTTATTTCGAGAGGGCATAAGAACTGAATGGGGAACGGCTACCATCGGCCTGTAATGCGGAGATATCTTCAACAACCTCAATTGCTTGTGCATCTGGATGCGTTCGAGGATTTTTATCATAGAGACAGTCGACATCAGTCATCAGGAATAAGTAATCTGCATGGAGCATAGCTGCAGTGATAGCTGATAGAGTATCATTATCTCCAAATTTGATCTCAGCGACGGCTAGGGTATCGTTTTCGTTAACGATAGGGATGACGCCCATTTCTAGAAGCTCGTGCAAGGTATTTTGAGCATTTCGGTATTGGGTTCGCTACAAATTGTAAGTCATGTAGTGATTCATCTTTACATGGTGAGCTTACATCTGCAATATCATTTCTCGTGAGCAAAATTTGTGCAACAGGTTGTTGTAAGTGAGCGAACAAGCTATCCCATAGACTTATAAGACGACATTGTCCGATCGCTGCTAAAGCCTGCACCCGCCGACATTAGTCAAATATTCACCGACTAGCTGCTTCGAACGAGACATACTTGTACTCGGGGAAGATGTTTTGGCCTTTTATCCAACTCCATTCTTCGAAGCCCAACTCCAATAGCTCCGGAGGATACAATAATAACTTTGTGTCCATCTTTGTGTAGCCTCACAGCAGTTTCCACAATCAAACTCAAAATACTCAACAATGGCTCATGAGTTTTCTCATCTACGATGGAACTGGTCCCTATAGTATCCCGTGACTCAGCTTCTGGCCTTTGAAAAGAAGGGCTTGTAAGTACCTAATTTTATAACTATAGTTAAAGATTTTGGGGTTTTCATCTTGCCAACGTTCATCCTGCTATGTAGAATACGTTTGACAATATATCAAAAAATGGCGTGTATTGTATATGTATACCTAGCAAGGCATTAAAGAGATGAATGTTGTCGTGGGTGGTTTTATATCAATCCGATACCGGCAGAATTTTCCCACCGCCCACCAAAAGTTATTTTTGTGAACAATTGTTGTATCAACAAACAGCGCTCTACTTGGTACATCGCAAAGCGTAAGTGTTGTAAGCTACTTTTATCCACAATGTCATCCCCGGAAGGAAATAAGCCTCCGCTTGTGCCAGACTCTGCGAAGGAGTCGGAACCGCAATTCGATCCAACTGCTCGAACACGCAATTGGTTCTCTATCCTACTTGGCACAATGCCTCCATCCCACCAGATGCTCTATCGCGAAGATCAATACGCTCGCCATGAGAAGCGCGACTGCGACCGATGTGAAGAATGGCGAGACTATAATTTAAAATACTCACCGATCGTCATATTTATGCAAAAAAACATACGGGATCTCAATGGGAAGCTTGATGCAGATAACATACGTTGCAGGAGATGTCCCACACGAGTCACAGAAGATGGGAAAATGGTGAGGCAAGGTGGGGGTTTTAGCCCCGAGCATGGCATTCAATTATGTGCGAATGAGATGAGGGATAGTAAACATGTGGAGGATACATTGGCACATGAAATGGTGCATGCTTGGGATCATTTGAGATGGAAGGTGGACTGGGGAGATCTGCGACATGCAGCTTGTTCGGAGGTTTGTCTGCCCTGGCCTAGTACGAGTACAGAAATAAATAGCTAAACGATAACATAGATCAGAGCAGCAAGTCTGAGTGGAGAATGTAGATGGGCAAGAGAGTTCTGGACGAGAAATAACTACAGGGTAACACAACAACACCAGGACTGCGTGCGCAGGAGAGCAGTCAAGTCGGTATTGGCTAGACCTTGGTGTAAAGATGACGTTCAAGCCGTAAAGGTAGTTAACGAAGTTTGGGATTCGTGTTACTCGGATACTCGACCCTTTGACGAGATCTACAAGTGAGGTCGTTTCATGAGATACGCCCATGTAATAATAGAAAGTTTGCTTTGTTAAATAATCGTATTCAGTACTTAGGTACTCGGGTATAGAAATGTATATCAAGATAGGCGCCAGTGTAATGGAAACATTAGATGCAAATCCCAAACTCTTACTCAACTTGTTCTCCCCAAGAATCATCTCAATCATTCCACTCCTTAAACGCCGATGCTCAAAACAAAACAGAATTCGTCAAATCATTCCTCACGGGTCTCTAGGGGAGTTTTGCTACTCTCCAGCGGAGACTTGCTACCAGTGGATTTTGAATCCCGCATACTAGCTCGCTCACCCTTTACACAGTGCTTAATGATCCAGGGGTGCTTCTCAACCTGTTCGAGGGGAATTCGTTTCTCGGGATCAAGTACCAGTAGCTATGTCAATAATTAGCGTGAGACGAATGTTAAGATGAATTCGGACATACCCTCTTGATCAAATCCTTTGCCTCTGATGAAACAAAGCCTGGAATTGTCATTTCACACCTTGCTATCCTCCTGTGTGTCATGACGACAGTGTCCTCGAAAGGGGCCTCGCCAACTAGAAATTCGTACATCAACACACCCAGACTCCACAAATCAACCTTCTCATTGTAGTAGTTGCTGTTGCTCTGCAACATCTCGGGTGGAAGATAATCTAAAGTTCCACACATTGTGTTTCTTCTGCCGTTAGGGGCATGGACACTCCAACCAAAGTCTGCGATTTTGAGCTCGCCATGGATGCCGACCAGAATATTTTCTGGTTTGATATCTCGATGCATGACATGCTTTTTGTGAAGATACTTCAGAGCGGCAGCCATTTGCGCAATGTAGTGAGCTGCTTTCCATTCCGGAAATTTTGTCTCTCTACGAAGATGCTTATAAAGTTCTCCTTTGCCAGCAAATTCTAGGATTAAGAAGACTCGCTTGCTGTCATGAAAGTGGCCATACAATTGTAGGATATTTGGGTGCCGTAGATTACTTTGAATTTCGATTTCCCGTCGGACCTGTTTCTCTACTTTGCCCTTTTGTATCTCATTTTTGTGTAAAACTTTCAAGGCACAAACAAATCCAGTACTACGTTCTCTTGCCAGATATACACGGCCGAATTTGCCTTTACCTAGAGGTCGACCAATTTCGAACATGCCGAGATGAAACTGTTTTACTGGAGCTGGCTCCTGATACATAGGATTCGATTTGCGCTCGATCCTGGCAACTTGTTCAGAATCTCGGTATGACGTAGTTGGTTTTCTTGAAGGAGAAGCTGGCTCCTGTGATGAAGCTGTGACTGTTGTGATTGTGTTTACTGTATTCTTATTTTGCAAGGCCATCTTCAGAAGGTTTGCTCGATTTGCATTTTGTGATAGTTGTGTGTTGGAAGATGTGGTAGATGCTATCTGCTCGGTATCCATTAGCTACGATGCATTTGATATTCGGTGTTGAAGTTATTCACCTTGGACATGTATTTCTTTCCTTCCCCTGGATCGTTCTCATCATTTACAGACATCCGCTCAAAGCGCGATTCAAGGCCATGGGCAGCCATTGCGAGATATTCGAGATAAAGGCTAAGAATTGATGAAAATGTTGAAAGGACCTTGGCCGATTGAAGTATTTCGAAGGAGTCTAAAGGTGTTTGACTGCTAGGTTAGTAAAATAGTGGATGGTAACGAAAGTGTTATTGATATATTCGAGAAATCTTTCGAAATCCAAGGTGACGGACGAGACGAGAGGTTATTATTTAGAAAAGCTGGAAAAGCAGCGGCTAAAAAGTCAATGCTTGTTGACATAGCAACACACGAAACCGATCCGATAATTGCCCAGTGATGAGTGAGATCTCGGAAGAGGTTTGAGAGGAGAGAAGTTCGAGAGGCAAGCATTCCCCACTCACCACGTGCCCACCAAAACAACTAAAGCAGCCTTGTCTCGTCTCACCCCACCAAAGAGGCATAGGTAGCGTAGCATACACTCACAATTGTGCATCTTCTGCGCCATACCTAGGTATTTATTCTCCCTACAGATTAAACAAACTATTGTCACATCACTTTGGAATCGAACGAGGAGCAATCTTGAATTGGAACCGGAACTCGAACTCGAACTGGAACCGGAAGTGCAAGTGCAAGTGCAAGTGCAAGTGGCAGTGGAAGTGGAAGTGGAACTCGAACCTGAACCTAAGCTTTTACTGAACCGAGCTTGGATTAGAGCTCTGCCTCTACCTTGTCTCGCATTTCATATCCGCCAAAGACGAAATCGAAAAGAGCCATTCTGAACTTGATCAGTGCTTGAATCGGAATCAGACCAGATCAATCATTTATTATCTCACACGTCGTTCATATCCCATCTACAATCTACAATCATGGCATTCAACGGTCCTATCAATGAGACTTACCCAATGCCCAGTGCGGCAGATACCGCTACTGTGTCGCATATTCAGAAAGGCTTCAAGATTAGTGCACGTAAACTCCCAATATCGAAGTCGGGTCCAATCGATCAGATGTCAGAGAAGCTCGGCATACCGGTTCCAGAGATGATCTTTGGTGATAATATGGTTGCGATCGAGCACGTAGCGAGTGGATGGCGCATGGAATTCAATGCATACGATGCCCTGGATCGCGTGGACAAGACGGACAAAAATATGTTAAAGGTAGCCTATTCAAAAGAGTGGTCGAGTAGCAGGTAGGGAATCGGAATTTTGTGGTTTCAATATGTCAAAGCTAACATGATATAGGGAGAAAGCCCATGAAGGCATCAAAGAAATCGTTAAGCCATTCGACTGGTCGTATACAACAGATTACAAAGGCACTATAACCAACGGGAAATTGTTTACGTTGGATAACTCCGATCCGATACCTATCGCCCTTCTTAAGCGTCAAGATCCCATTCTGTTTTTCGAAGAAGTTGTTTTATACGAGAGTGAGCTAGACGACAACGGAATATCTGTGTTTTCTTGCAAACTGCGAGTTATGCCTGACCGAATGCTTCTCTTGTGCAGATTGTTCATGAGACTCGATAATGTTCTTGTTAGGATCAGAGATACTAGGATCTATGTCGATTTCACCATAAGCAAGGTAATTCGCGATTATACCGAGAGAGAAGATACATTTGACACTGTCAAAAAAGTGAGTGAAATCATCAATTTCTCCAAAGAATTCACTAATCTGTAGTAGAACCTTCTTTACTCTGGTACACTCCCAGACGATCTTACTATAGCCATGCGTGATCCAAATCAGATTGCCCACCTAGTACCTGAAGTTACCCATACGATCGAGAATCTGACGCTTCCTTAAGCTATACCCCAAATATAGATTTGAATACTATATGAAAATAAGACAGATAGAATGAGGACCTAATCTCGCAACTCATTGGGGTCATAGTGCAAAAGATGAACTATATGATACCGAAAACACAGCACTATTTTGCTGGGGAAGATCGCAGTCTATCGCAAGTTGTAGGTGTAACTCACAATTGCCGTAAGTGGACAAAATCGAAGGCTTTGGAAATTGGAGGCCATCCCAGAATAGCTGCCGACGATTTGGTCATAGCGTTTTGGTAACAGGCGTATAACTAACGATTTTTGTTGCGCCAGAAAATTGGGCATAAAGTTCCTAAGAATGGAGTGTACAACTCTCGGGTCTCAGAATGGTCAGCATAAGGCAGAGAGGTTAATCTGGATGACCGCAATACGTACACTTATCAAAGTTTATGATTCTTACCATTTCAATCTTTAAATAAATTTGATTTCGATGAAGTATCAACCTAATATTCAAGTTCTATTTCCACGCAAACTGAACTTCGAGAATCCCAAGCATAGCAGCATAGTAGCGTCATATCATGTCTCGAAAGAATCGGTAGATTGTCCTGCTCTGTGCAATGACAGACGAAGGTATGGAATGCGGTCAAAACTTTCCATGTTTTCTTGTTAGTGGATCTAACTGTCGGCCATCATTCCCATCAGCAACAATTCAGCACCAGTGTGCTTCAAACTCGAACATTTTTGATGCTTGTGGGAATAATTTCACCTTCTTACACGCTCTGCATCTACTCTACCTGTACCTACAAGGTATTTCTACACAATGAACGAGATTTGACCACGGCTACGGAGCGGAAAAAGAATTACTGCACCGAAGATCCTGAAACTCTATGATACCATGAGCACAAGGACTATCACTGGATTGCGAGATATATATATATATATGCATAGAGTATGTGAGCACCAAGAGCTCGATACGAAGAGAGCATCTTTTATATATCGAGAGCAACTACAATTCCTAAGAAAACATTTTCAAGTCACCGATACTTTGGATTTACTTACTCAGATCTCTCATTTTTCATGGTCGAAGTATATTCTCCAAGTCATTCTGCCGCCAAAAATGATGATATAGTTGAAAAATTTGTCAGAGCGTGTTCCATGATACACAAGACACGACGAGGGGGCCATCACTGAACTCAGAGGGCTGCCCTTGTAACAGGGTTTTTTTTTTTTCAATTGGGGTCTAGAATTGATTTGTTGCATATCGAATGTCACTCAACGTGACCACTATCATACTACGCACCTCACAGTGATGATTCAAGCGGCTGTAGTTGACAAGTAAAGCTTTTCAGTTCTCAGATTCGGGCCCATTCAAGATCGCTCCGGATGCGGAAGCAGGCTCCCGCCGTAGAGCTTATTTCATAAATAATCATTTATGAACATCCAAACCTCTACTAGTGAGCAGTTTTTCGTATTCTAACGAATTCAGGCTTCCTTACTTCTGGGGAAGGCAGAATGTAAGAAGGTACATTAAACCAACGGCATCAATGGTATCGCATAAAGCTAAATCTAGAGAGCAAATTTGTGGTATAGCGGCGGAACAGATTGTTGACCACATTCAGCTCCAATTCTCATCTCGTATAGTCAAGAACAGGGCATTTAAAGGAAAGCCATGGCTAAACTCAGTGAGACTTCACTTGGGACTAGTCGCTTTCGTTGACACGTGTGTAGAAGCTCGTATCGATCGGCGATAATCGTCAGAACAAGAGGGGGGAAGTTTGGATCCATGCATCGATTTGTCCAGATCTAGTCGGGCGATTCATCGTATGTTCTTCGACGACTCGATAATCGAAATATCATCGTTGAAAATTCCTATATTCAACCACATGGTGGTTGACGGCCCGGTGAGTTGCCTGGTCGCCATAGCCTTCAAAAATGCATGTATCATGCGCCAATACTCGTGTTTTCGCGCCGTTTTCCTTGGAGAAGCAAGCTTTCCCAGGCTGTCAGCCTTTTTCACTACTTGAGGAATCTGCCTGGCCAGAACCAAATAACTTCCCACCTTCACATACATGGAGGTAGACACCAACGAACGGCCACAAGCTGAACAAACTTTCATGATAGTTTTCAAATATACGTCCGTTTTTGTCTTACTGTTCTCCCGAATCAGAGGTCGTTCCTAGTTTAGGTACCCGACAGTGGCTTCTCAGATGATCAACCACAACAGGGCTTTTTACGAAGAGAAATTGTTACAAACCTAGCATTGTATTTGTATGGCACATATTCAGGTAGCCTTTTATGCATCCTTTTGTATGCAAGGACGTTATCCCTCATGTCCAGCTCTTTATTCCATGCTGAATTTATTCCATTCTGTTGGAAGTTGTGGCATGTGCGCTTAGCTACAGTGTATATATCACTTCCACTTCGTAGTTAGATTTTGTCTACGTACAATTAATCTACATAGTCAATAATATATGCAGTCCATTGACCTGCTCCTTGATCGTGAAAAAATTCACTGTTAAACAAACTTGTTTCGTGGCAGGGTCCTTCTTGGTTCTAATTTGCCTCTAGCCAGTGATTTCCAATATTCTATTGCCTATAAACCACACATACGAAATCCCTTACCTGGACTCTCTGTCTTCCTCAAAATGAGTTTTGGCAGAACAAGCGCATCACTTTGCCTGACCATCTCGTTTCTCGCCCGTGTTGATAGCGTCGGGGCGTTATCCAATCCTATTGCTATTGAAATTAGCATCGATGCACACACTGGAGCCACACCTACGTGAAGAGATATATCGGACCTTCAAAATCACGTCCCAACTTGGTATTTTTAAATCTTTACATTTGGTTTGGTTTTGATCAAGGAAGTCAATACCAATCACCGCAGAACCATGAAGCAATTGATGGAGATGGAATGGCAATTCCTAGTTGACATCTGAAAATTCACCTATGACTCGACTATTTGAATGGCTTGCCAAACTCTAGTCTGTTTAAAGGATCTTTGAAATGCAGAATTGCATCATAAGATCCGAATACTATGGTTTTGAATATAGCAACGTCAACGGCCGCTTCTTGACCTGATGACTAACATATCTCAGGCCTCTGTACATCCAAGCACTTGTTTCTTTACAGCGAGTCCCAAAAGATGACTCATTATCCTAATTTCAGATAGCTGGTATTCATGGTCGTCCATAATATTCGTGGCATACTGTGAGCTGGAATTCAGCAGCTCCGCAAATGGGTCATTGTACTTATGACAATGTATTATTTCCCACCTATCGTCCATATTTAGTCTTATATAATCAAATTCTAGCTATTCCTACACAAGCCATTACCGCCATATGCACCGAAGCCATTTACACCGACGTTGCTGCGAATTTCCGTATCCCGTATTCAGACTTGGTGGCCGTTCCAGCTCTTCCTCCAGTTGTTAGTGGTGCCACAGTCCAGATCGACACACCATCTGTCACTCAGGGCGTTGCAGAGCGTCTTATCCTTTATAGATTTTAGCAGTTTCCGTTGAACGTAACGACATTCTACTATAAGTATCAACACTGCGAATGAAGACTAGGCTCAAGATCCAACTACTTTGAGATTCCTTGATACAGCGATTCTGAGGATATCTCAGCCAGATATAGCAAATGAAGGCATGGGTGCTGAACTTTTGATGAGTATAATCTATTCCACGTCCTACAAAGCACCATCGTTCTACGACTTGGCTACCCAAGTCTCTCTTGAGCCCTCTCTTAACAAATCTCATGGCGTTGTACACGTTACTATTGGAGACCTCGGAATCGTTTGATGGTCTTCCAGTAGCAGACAATCGCATAGTTTATGGAACAAAAGATCTTCACCCTGAGACAACGAGCGGAAAGGCAGGTGGTACAAGCTCCTAAGTATAATCCAAATCTCGATAAGACTTCAACGTGCATAAGCACCTACTTCAAGATATCGCACCCCGTCACTTCCTTACTCCCCATTATCATGCGTGACTATAACCCTAATACCTTTACTTCCTGCCGCTGGCGCTGCAACAAAATGATCTCTCTTAATTTCCACATCTCTCTTCGTAGTTCCATAAAGCTCAAGATCAAAACGTTTGAGTATATACGCTGTTGTGAGAAACAATTCTGCATACGCTAGGCTGTTTTTGAGATTACTCTGTTAGTCAGAACACTAGAGAGGTAGGAACATGGTGAATTTCATACTTCATGCCAAGGCATATTCTGGTCCCCTTGCAAAAAGGGACAAAATACTTGTCCAGCCTATGTTTGCGCACTGCATCTCCAGTAGTCGAATCTTTTGAGACTGACTCCGTAAGCCAGCGACTCGGGTTGAATTCATGAGGAGAGGGGAAAATCTCGGGGGAGTAGTGGATTAAATAGTAAGACATGCTTGTTGGTGTCTAAATTTCGTCAAAATGGTAAATGGGGTCAAGGGGGAGAGAATGGTAAACAGGTACTTAGATATCGATGAAAATCGATACAAAGGGGCTATAGAAAAGGGCTATACACACACCAGCAGGGATTGTCCATTTCTGAAACTTCATGTCTTCATTGGGTGCGATTCTAGGAAGGCGCGAGGTTACCACGCTTGAAAGACGTAATGCTTCGGTTACGGCCGCCGACTGTGAGAGGATTTGTTAGTAGCGATTTAAGATTTCAGTTTCTCGAGTTGGTTCACCAGGAACGGTAGGGTTTCCAATCTCCCCCATGTGATGTCTTCACCCAAGGTGCCAATTTCATCCTTGACCCTCGATAGCATTTTTGGATTATTCAGGAGATGATAAAGCAATACCGCTAAAGTTTGGGCTGTGGTCTCGCCTCCAGCTCCAACCATGATATTTCCATCGTCAGCGAGTCGCCTGAGTGTCTTTTCTTCGGGAGGAAGAAGGCTGCTATCGCGAAGTTCGTGGAATATTGTGTCTTGACGACCCCCAACATCTTCATGATTTAAAATACGTGCCACTTGTTTTCTTGAATTCTAGTATGTATAGTCAGATGCTAATTTGTGAACATAAACACGGATTCTTGCGACTGACTCTGTGATGTCCCAGCACAGGCCCAGCTAGGCTACTAGGTAGCCACGATAGAATTGTGTACACTATAGGGAAATGCATAACAATAGTCGTTATAGACATGACTTGAGAAAGTGTGGTACTCCATATTTCAGCCAAATTCTCATCAGTCAAAGCGCCGAAAGCTTCCCCGTAACAATAATCGGAAATCACATCCAAAGTAAGCGATGAGAATACTACCCGAAGACTAATGGGGGTTGCTTGCGCGAAATGAGACTGAAATACATCAGACAGTAGAGAGATTTTTGATTTGATAAGCGGCTCCATAGCCATGATAGACCGCTTGGAGAAGAAGGGGTTGACGGCGTTTCTTCGGAGACGATGGAGGTCATGTCCTATGGTTTCAAAAGAACTTCCTGGAGAACCGCCAGCACTAACAAACCATGGATATCTGCCATTGTTTATTAGTCCGAAAATCCTACACAATCTAGTGATTCTTTGAGGTGAAAAGCAAAAGTACAAGTGTAGACCTAGTCTAAACACATCAATCGACCTTGTCATTCCCGCCGTTCTTGGTGCTTTAAGAATATGCGAGCAAGGAGTAGTATGAAACCGGCAATTCAATGACTTTTAGGATATGGCATGAATCGAAATGGTTCGACTCGAGGACTTCATATAAAAATACCGGATCACCCAAACTTCCCAACTTAAGATAAATTTTGTCCATGACCTACTTTTCACGTTTTCTCGTATTGCCCGCGTATAATTCATCATAATAATTCACATCATTAATGTGCAATTCATAGGGATTAATGCGCACGATAGGACCTATAGTTTTTAGTTACAATGAAACGTCGAGGAGGGAATCAAACGTACCATACTTTTCGTGCATTCGTTTGATTTCCCAAAGCCATTGTCCATCACGCACGATATTGAAGTAGATCTCATACCACGATGTCAAAGCTGCAAGCTTTGGACCAGGAAACTTGGCAATGGGACTTAAGTATAGACGATGAATAGCGCCATAGATGGTCCACAGGGACAAGAATAGAAGAAGTATAATTTCTAGATAAGTAATGGCCATCATGTTGAAGGTACAGCATTTGAATGATCATTGAGCAATTGAAGCAACATATCTCATTTTCTCGAGATAATAGAGATGATTTATGGGTGGCACAAGTTCCTATTGAAGTGCGATGCAGCTGCCGAGCTCGCGGAAGTTTAGAAACCTGCTTAACACAACGTAACGGGTGCTGCATTGGGATGTCGTAAACATAATCAGCGATGATATTGAATACTGCAGAATGATGACAGGTGCCAATGCAAGGAAATACGATGCATCATTGGAGATCAATCAACAAAATCCACAATTTTACAGATAAGCAAGAAACCTTAAGATATCATTGGAGGAGAAAGCTTTAGTTGGCTGAACAAGGCGACGAATAACACACCATCTTTATATTGAAAAACAGGGAGGACACAGACGGCTTCCACTTTCTTTACGCAAAATTAAGAGGCTTTAGTGGTACATGTCAAATGTCATTGGTATTATTACTTATCGCTGACACGACTATATGCATGCGTATGATTAATCTTTCTCAATGTCAGCAGATTCAAGTCTACGATATATCATGTAGATCTTCTATGTGAGCTCGATAACTTTATGTCACAATTTTCCTGTTATATAATAAATTTTTGGCATATGATCGTTAAAGTGGATCAAGATCAGTGTAGGCAATAGTATTTCCCGTATTTCGTATACGGGTTAGTTTAGTAGTGCGTATCGAGTTTTTTCGAAATATGTATGTATGTAGTATAGAATTCAATATTACTGAAAGTATTCAATATCTTTTAGTTATTTGATACTATTAATAATATACTGAAATACTGGAATCCAATATAAAATATATATTCCTATTCAAATTAGATTAGAAATAAAAGATTCCTATTCAATTTGAAATAAGGAATGGAATTTTATTATCTAATTTGAATAGGAATGTATACTTTATATTGGATTCCAGTATTTCAGTATATTGCTAGTATTCTCTAGATATATAAATATATACAAAAGTGATATAGCCTCCTTTCTATATATACTAACTGCAATATCAATATACTAATACGCGCCACAGTTTCACTGTAGTATACTATTGCCTACACTGATCAAGATCCATAAATTTGACAGAGTTTCTCACCCAGGAATAAGGAGTATGATATGACTTCATTTCAAAGGGATCTCGTGTGACGTAAAGTTGTCGAGGCTTATTAGATACATGTCAGACATAACACTTATGCTATTGTGCCAAACGTGCATAGACAAAGGTCTGCAAGAAGCTTAAATAATAGAGGATCACTTCCTAGGCTTGTCAATACCGATTCCAACGGGCAGAGCAAAAAAAAAAGAACAATAAGCAATGGGTAATTTTTGATGAGCAACATTGAGCCAGGAAGTTGATCTGGCGTCTATCTAAAAACGGTCTCGCTGCTAAAAATTCCCGGCTCAGATAGTGATACCTGCCGCCATCGCCTCTAATTTCTCCTCATCACACTTGTGACATGCACAATCCATGCCAAACCAAGGCATAAGTTTCCCTTGTCTTTCCTTAAGACCCTTGCCTCTCCCGATATACGAAATGAACATCTCCTCTCCTTTCCTGATATCTCTCTCAGCAAACATGGTAACTGTGCTATTTTCATCGTCGTGTCTCCAATCAATGTTGGGATCGCAGCTGTGATTGAACATCGAATACAAAGGATTCACGGCGGTTCCGCAAATATCATCGAAGGTTTGCCCATGTTTATTGTTCTGTAAACGACAGTAGATAGTGTGCAGAACCCATGTATCATATGCGCTGTTCGCGAATACGTCGATACCAAGCCCACGAAGAATGCGAATCGGGGTTATGATGTGATCCTTGAAATTTAACGCAATGAGTTGAGGGTTATTTGGATTGTACGCGGGTGTGAGACGTGATATGAGAGAGGTTTTCAGGGGATTGGCGGCATTCTCTTTCAAAGAAAGGGCGAGAACGCGGAGAAATAAGTTGGATCCTATAGACGATTCTGTGGGGTTTGACAAAGATTCTGACTCGGTCCGGAGCGAGAAATCTAGATCTTTACCACAAAGGATGGTATGATAATTATCCAGTGCAGTTTGAGAGCAGGAAGAGCTACAATACAAAGTTTTACAACATGAATTTTCGATTTTATTCAAGAGTGGCCCACAACAAGCTGGGCAGCGGTCGACACTGTCAACCACAGCAGCAAGCGTAGGGTCAACAAGAACTGATTCTTTTGCCATGATATCTCTTGTTGCCACTACGCCAAGCACATCTATCTCTGATATTTCTTCAAGCGAAATTGCCAGTCTAATTGTGCTCTTTGAGACTACGCAATTGGATGATGCAGAGGTAAATTCGGCCGCCACCTTTTCTATTACTTCGTCGGATCTTGCGACAACATCTTCGGTCATCCATGGATATGCTGTTGGGTAGACGCCTCCGTTGTAAAGAGTAGTCTTCATGGCCTCGGCTGTCATTTCTTCATTGCCAACATATCCTTGAAGGATATTTTGACGTTGCTCGAACCATGATTCCGCATTTGTTACTTCCGAAGGGAAAACCTGATCATCTGGAAACTTGGCCACCGCATCTTTACTTACCTCAAGGTAGTCTGAGCAGCAATTGGAAGCCATTAATCCTTCCATTAACTCTGACCAAATCTGAAGTTCCAGTCTTTTTAGTAGGACTGTAACTAAAGCTCGAAGAGATTCTGGCGTAGCAACCTGTGCTTTCCTGGGCATCCATGCTGGGTGAGTTTGATGGAGCTGCCATATCTTCTGACTATATGCTTTGTAAGCATCAGTACCTAAGGTAGAATCATTCTCTAAGGCTGCTTCGACTAGAAGCCTGGCCTTTTGAACGTCGCCAAGAGCAAGTTCCGGGTACCCTAATCGGCGGAGGCAATTACCCCGATTGAGCCAATTTTCCGGGTCGTACGGGGTTTCTGTAATATCCTTTGTGAATTGAGCAAAGTCTTTGATTTCGGACTCCAAGGCCTAGGAAGAGAAGAATTTGATCAGTGAAAACTTCGAGTAACTTACCCAGGGCTACAGGGAAAAGAGAATTCTGATACGAACCTCGGCCTCCAAAATTTGATGAGGAGCAATTTCACAAGCTGAGGATGGCTTGTATAAGTCTGGTCTCCATGGTGAATCCATCTTGACGAGGTTTGAAAAGAAGGGTTGGCAAGGAAAGCTGTTGGCGGGTTGAGTTTCAGATAGTTCTTTTACTCAGTGCTAAGCGATTTCATATACTAGAATGAATGAACGTTTTTAGAGTATGATGAAGGATTAACGATGAACGGTGAAAGGATTAAAGATTTAAGATAAATGGATCAAATGGATCAAAGAGCATGGATGCTCTACTGATGGACAATGGATGGTGGCAACTTTGTGTGCGCTTTTCGCTAAAAGTCTAGCTAGTGATATAGTATGTGGTGGACTCAGCCCACTAAGGTTAAGCCAATCTAGCCCTAAAAGACTTTGAGCCGTAATTAAAATCACTGAATTTCGTGTGTAGTATACTGTAGTGAATTATGGTGGAAACTTGTGGTTATCATAGCCGTCGTGATGCAAGTGTTGCAAGTGATTGAAGTGATTGTATTGTATTGAATTGTATTCGGGTATACGAGATTAAAGATGTATCTATGCTGATAAGCACTAATCCTATTGCAGTATAGACTACACTACCCTGCAGCACTTGTCTACCGGCATATTAAGTGTCAGGTACTTTTACAATTTACTGATAACGTAGTTTAACACCGAGTGGCCCATATCACCGAGTGGCCCACTTTCATCTCAATTTACACTTTCAAACTCATATTATTCAATAATAATTAAATTAATTAATTAAAATTATTAAAAATCTAATAATCTAGGATCTATTATATTATTTTGATAGATTTTTATATTATATTCTATCTTTTTATATTTATTATAATATTAATTAAAAGATATTTCTTTATTAGAATTCTTTTCTTTTTGATATTTATTATATTAAATTTAAATATTAATTTTTTATTAAAATAATATATTAAAAGTTTTTTATTCAATAAACATTTTTTCTTAATATAATTGAATTTTTTTTATATATCAATATTTACTTAATATTTTATTTGCTATTTAAAGTATATAATTCTCTATATTTAAAAATATATTCTTATAAGCTAATCTTTTTATATTTTTAATTAAAATTAATATAATTTCGAATATAAATATAAAAAAGCTTAATTAATAACAAATTATTCGAAATTTAATTAATATTAATTAAAAAAAAGTTTTAGTTGGATTATAAAGAATTTGAAAGATTTATTGATTTAAATTGAAAAAAGGGGGGGATAAATATACAAATTCGAATATCTAATTTTGAGAATATAGTTTTAAAATTAAATAGAATTAAATTTGTTTTTCGAAATCCTATTTTTATATTTTAAGAAATAATTGATTTTTGATATATAGCTTTAAAAACTATAAAGAATTCAATTTTCGAAATATAATTGATATGTACCTTAATAAATTTATTAATTTAAGTATTATATAAATGTTTCAGATTATTAAAATAATTAATATCAAGTAGTTAAATTAAATAACTTAAATATAATAATAAATTTAAATATATAATATTATTCTCTTTATAGTATACTTAAAAAACTATTGATTTATAACTTTTATATCTATTTAATATTAATATTCAATATTTGCTCTTTCTTTAATTCTTAATATATTTATCAAAATATTTCAATTATTCTAAATCTGTTTTATTATTTATTTATTTATTAGATATAGGTTTAATAGTCTATTCCATAAAAAAACCGATTTCGATATATCAATTGAAAAGATAAACCTATTCTTAAATTATTAGAAATAAGGGAATAGTTTTATTCTTTATATTTCTATATATTATTATTATAGCCTATTCTCAATTGTTTGATTATATTAATTTATTTCTGCTATATCTCTCAATACTAGTAATAATTATTATTATATATATAATCCTTATTATAAAGCCTATTTCATCAAAATTATAGAAATTGCTATCTAAAATACTATATTTTGTTTATATATTTATAATTAATTAAAATTATTTTTTAATAAATTTAAAATCTTTATAAAAAGTTTTTTGAAAGTTATAAATATAATTAAAATATATCTTTAATTCAATTCAATACTTTATAAATTGATGTATTTAGAGCTTTTTAATATATTTTGTATTTCTTAATTCAAAAATATAATTTGCTATATTTTTTATATTTTTCAATTTAGATAGAAATCCTTTTGAATTTATATTAAATATATATTAAATAATTTTTTTTTTTAATTCTATAATCTTATAACTATTAATTCGAATTTCTATATAAAAAAATAAATCTTTTATTTTATATCAAAAAATTATATAAAAAATATTATAGAATATAACAGCTTTTCGAATATTTAATTTTTTATTTTTATAAATAGTTTTAATAATAAAGAGTATATAAGCTTTTTGATTATTCGAATTTATTATGAGTTATTGATAAAACATGTGTTGAAAGAGAAAGATGTAAATTGAGGTGAAAGTGGGCCATTTGGTGATATGGGCCACTCGGTGTTAAACTACGTTATGGGAACAATTGATTTCTCCATCTCCGGCAACGTCGTTTAGATGGTTATAGCTACTGTGCTGTACATAGCTCAAGAAATTATCTTACTAGGACCAAGCTGATTTCAAAAGTATTTGATTTGTTCAGTATTTATTATATATACTACTACTAATATCTTGTTCATTATCGTAAAGCTACCCCAGTCTTGACCCTCAAGATTCCTTTTCTCCCCGGTACGCCACTGTAGTTCTATTGACAGATTCAGAATCATCACTGATTGCTGTAACCGCGTCTGCATTGATTGCAATTTGTGTACCATCTTCAGCAATTACAACATCACCGTATTGTGATTCCCATCCAAGACCCATTTCCTTGATTAATTTCTGGTTCTGAGTCGGCCATACCTTGCAAAGAGCAAAGTACACAACGAAACTGACAGTAAAGGATAACAACCATCCGAGACGTCCAAGATTCGTAGCACTTTGGGATACAGATGCGCCTAGAGTTCCAACAAATCCTGGAAAAGGGAGCGCAACACCACAAATATATGCAATAATCGCTTGCACATTCCAGCCATGGAAATAATAGTAATGCTTGTTTGATTTTGTACCATTGTAGAGATGCCCAATGAAAACATTGCCCTTAGTGAGTGCATAGTCTTAGAAAAAAGTCAGCATTAATATTACGAAATGAAATGAACTGCTTCCAACTATCTTGAAGTTTGCCAGCTCGGGAGTTATCCGTATGGGATATGTGTTGCGGGTAAAAGAACTTACAATCGCAGACCATTATTGCAACCACGCTTGCCATGAATATACCATAACCCGAAAGGAATGTGGTAAAAACCGACGCAGAAGCGAGAATCTTCCATGGACAGATGGCAAAAGCCAAGAATTCCACAACATATTGCCCGCGGGGAATTGTGAGAAATCGAGGAAACAACATGGTACTATCAGCACCGAATGGAATCATGTTCGCTGCAATGTTTGTACCAAGAATGGATACCATCCAGCAGAATGCCAAGAGAAAGACAGCAAAACGTGTGCTGCCCGACCAATATCTATCCAAAATGGCGCTTAGCAAATCCCAAGGATTCCATAGATCCAAGCCCCAATTGTTGTTGATCGCAGCCGTGGCCAAGATTCCAAATGTGGCGGACAGCGTAACGGATAGAGGTTGAGTAAGAAGTTGCGACCATTGTGCGCCCGATCTCGTCGCACTCCATCTCGCAATATCTGGTTGATTTGTGATCACTACATGAGTGACGAGTTAGCAGCTTTTCTTTGCACATTGAGTGCTTAGACCCTAGAATCACTTTTGGAAGAATTGGGCAAATGCGTCGCAAGGCGACAATTCAATCCAGGGAGCAAAGTGAATTTCAACTTACAAGTTGCAGTGTTACCCATGCCACTGTTGATGCCATACATGATAAACCATCCATAGGCAGCCCCTTCCCCAAGTGTGCTTTTGTATACTGATCCGACTTTTCCCTTTGTATTGGCCATACAGAAAATGAAAAGTCCAAATACGGCTGGCAAAACAACAATTGATTTGAACCAAAAGAAGGCTCGCAATTGATATGGTCGAAAGGCGCAGAATGGGAAGTGAACTAGCCAGAACAGGAAGAAGGCAAGCATACTGGCAGATGTAATACCAATCGATTCAGGAATGTGATTTGGTATATTAGTGAAGTTGTGTCCGAAAATGCATCGCAAGATATTGCTCATGAAACTCGCACCAGAGAACACTGTTTTTGTCGGCGCATTAGCAAAATGTCACCAAGAAAGAACCGCTCGCTGGATGGAATGTAGTTTCGATCGCTCAATCTTTGCAAGAAGACGCAGAATGTTTCAATGCGTCAGAGATTCATAAAATGGATCACTTACATTGTACACCATACCAGATAATAGCCAAGGCAGCGCGAGCTCCAACGAAGTAGTATGAACCATACATTCCAAAAACACTCCTGGCTACGACAGGGTATCCAATATGATAAACCGAGGCGCATCGACTGTTGAAGTACATGGCGACCGAACTGATCAATTGAGAGACGAATATAACGATGATGGCTTGCCACCAATTAAGGCCAATTCCTACCATGGTCGAGCCCAAAGTCCAATTGCCAAAGGAGAGTCCCAGGTAGAAGGTAACGAAGTTCCACCAACGCCATGTCCGTTTTTCAGGAGGTGTTGGATCACTACAGGAACGAATTTAGTAGCTGAATTGTTCGCCGTGGGCCAATCCATCGACAAAAGTCCCATTGAGCAACAATTGATATTGGAACTTACAGATCTTCATTGGACCAGACCTTATTCGAGCCCGAATGGCGATCGAGAGCAGTATCTTGAACTGTCACATAGTCCATGAAATTCTGTCGACTGGTGAAAGCATTCTTGAAAGCTCCAACCTTTTCCGCCGATTGAGCTTTGAGAGTCGCGACGTTCATAGCGGGGGACATCTCGGATAAATTTTCAATTGACACACACACAAGTACTTTTTTCTTGCGAGGAAGAACGGGTACTTGTATCAACAAGTGACAATTACAACCACGCAAAGCAAGAGTTGATAATCTTCACAAGAAACAAATGTCAAGAGAAGATAGGTATCATGCTCCGAGTAATTGCGCTCTCTTTTGGGAGAGAGAGAGAGAGAGAAGGGAAGGAAAGGAAAGGGGGAGGAAGAGGAGAGAAGAGCTTGACGGTTTATGATTGAGGAAAGAAAAGAGAAACTCCACTTTGATAGACACTACGACAGAACGACTACCAATCAATACACTGACATTTTTTTTTTCATGTCCCACTTACCCTGTTCTTCTGTTCTTCTGATAGTCTGATAGATAATAGCCTTGATAGCCTTGATAGCCTGATAGCTTCACTGCTTGTGGGTGAAAGTTATCAACTACCCGGCAAATTTTACTGGTCTGGATCGTGTTGGTGGACACGGACTGGCTCGCATACCGTGGACCTAGGTATCGATAATCGATTGCTTTGGACGGATTTCGAATGGACGCTTGTTATCAACGGTCAAAAACTTATCGGACGATACACTTAACCCAGTTAGACCAAGATGGACAATCATCGGGGTGTCGGTTGTATGGGGTATAACACGGCACAAGTGACAAAAACACACGATCAACTTCCTGTACGGGTTATCTTGGCTGGCTGGCTGGCTGGCTGGCTGGCAGTGATCAGTCTCTAGGATGCCTTATCAGGTTGATAGCTCGGACATGCCCGAATCTGACTGTATTGGATGACAAGAACGCGTTGTGATTCGTGAACCTGTGAGTGCGGGCGAGTGGGTACGTTCCGGTACAGTTGCCACATTATGGTTATCGCGTTGCGGCCGGATAGCAGAACATCTAAACCTCACTTCAACCTCACAATATCAAAACTTACCCGGTAGGATTTCAGCCACCAACTGATGCAAAACAAGACCTCTCGAGATAAATAGCGATATCTACCTATCAAGACGACCATGGAACTACGAATGAGGAAGTTACAAATGTCCCACGCATTATCGAAAACCACAGTCCATAATGAGCTAAAGGGGCACTTTACGATAACCTCGAACTTGCATACCTCGAACTGACAAGCCAACCTCGAAAGCTTTACTCGTACACCCGTATGGATTTGTGGTTCAATTCATGTTTGCAGAGATTTGCAAGTCTCAGTTATCGTACTCCAAACCCCATCTGGAATTTTATGACCGATAATTACCCTTTACTTCAAACTCATTGTCTATAACAACCGGTTCACGCAAATACGACTGACTACTCGTGTCACTCGTGTTACTAAATTTCTCTCCCATCCAAAGCTTAATATGTCAAAACTCTTTTTCTTCAGTACCAAATGCTACCACTCAAACAATCCTCTTCGTTCTAAGCCAGCTCGTAGTCGAGAAAGGTTGTCTATGAGGAATGAACATCAACCTGTCGAAGTAAGAGCAAGTCTTATTTCTGATGATTCGAATCTTGGGAATGAGTATGATTTCTCTACCGATTGAAAGGATTTGTAAGCCGCGATGGCCCGCTCAAGAATATTGAGGATTCAAGCTTTCATCGGTGATCGTATTGGGAAAGTCTTTACGAGTAGAAATTGGCATAATTCAATGTAAGTTGTTCCTATAGTTTCTAGTAGCGGACGCGCGACATAGAAAGTGGAGGCGAATTATACACATTTATCATGATCTACCTCTCTGCTTAGATTTTTTATCGTACCCCGCTCAAAGTTTTCCTTTAAAAGGTTATTCGAAGATTTGTTCATCCATAATTGAGTTTGATAGAGAGGCTCTAAGCTGCAAGTGCCGATTAAGGTTCGCAACGGCGTGGCCACTAATGAAGCACCCCAGAGCTTCAACCATGACGTTATCATGGTTGGCAGATGTGTAGTTCACATTTGGAGGATAATCTTCAGTCTTAGGTTTGCTACTCCTTCTAATATGATTCGCGATTTACGTCGCGTTGCCATCACAACCTCAAAAATTCATCAAAATCTATCAGCATGGTGCAGAAAACTACTGTCGACTCCGAGGAGTCTTCTACAGACATACCCAAGGCCCAGAATTCGGTAATCGACTCTGAAGCTCGAGCAGGAGCGAATTCCCCAGGTCCTGATGAAAAAGACGTCGAAACTGTCAGTAATGACATTGGAAATGTCACTCAAGCTGGTGTACAGAATATCGAGGCCGTGTCAATGACCTGGACGACATGGTCTTTGATAATAGCATACATCGGGTACGTTTCATGAGATGATATTGGTGGATCTCCAGTGTTCTAAGAAGAATTGCAGTATATTCCTCATCTCCTTCACCACTTCACTCGAATCACAAGTGATCATGTCACTTTCTATTTTTGCGACAAGCTCATTCAACAACCACTCTTTGATTTCAACAGTATTGGTGGTTCAAAGCGTCGTCATGGGTAAGTGAAATTCGTAACTGCTGATATTTTGTGTGTATGTATTGATTCAAGATAGCTGTTATTAAAGCGCCCATGGCCAAAACCGCTGATGTATTTGGTCGACTCGAAGCCTTCACCATTTCGATCGTCCTCGCCATAATCGGCGGCGCTACAATGGCCATATCCAGCGACGTACAAACTTATGCCGCAGCCCAGATATTTTACGCAGCTGGCTCCACCGGTCTTCAAATTCTCCAGCAAGTTTTCATTGCTGATACGACTAATCTCCTCAATCGTGCTTTATGGTCTAGTTTGCCGCAGATCCCATTCTTGATCACTGTTTGGATTGGAGCACCAATTGGAGACAAGATTCTTAAAACTACAACATGGAGATGGGGTTATGGAATATGGTGTATAATCTTGCCAGTCGTATTCTTACCATTGGCATTGTCTTTGTTCCTCAACAATAGAAAAGCAAAGAAGGCTGGCCTCACTGCTCCGTCGCCTTCAAAGAAATTGGGTCCGATTGCAACCATAACCACTCTCTGGAACGACTTGGATATTGGAGGCATGATTCTGTTGAGTGCGGCGTTTTCGCTTATTCTGATTCCGCTCACCATTGCTTCTAAGGCCTCGAATGGATGGGCTAGCCCAGATATCATCGCAATGATCGTTCTAGGGGTTATTTGCCTTATCAGCTTTCCTGTTTGTGAATCTGTCAAAAAGCTTGCACCGCATCCACTGATTCCCTTAAGTCTCTTGAAATCCCGTACATTCTGCGCAGGATGTGGCATCGGATTCTTCTACTTCAGTAAGTCTCACTCTGGTCCGTTACCCAGCTCTCGTATTAATATTTCCAAGTGGCATTCTTCCTCTCGGTTCAACCATACTTCTACTCATATCTTCTTGTCGTCCAAGATCTTTCTATCCCCGCTGCCGGCCACGTAACACAGGTATTTTCTTTCACTGCAACTATTTCGTCTGTCATTATATCTTTCTTCATCAAGTATACCAAATACTACAAACCATACATTACAGCTGGAGCGCTCATCTACCTGATGGGCATCGGACTCATGTTTCATTACCGCAGGGAAAATTCATCTATTGCACAGATCATCGGCACGCAAATTGCTGTTGGTATCGGCGGAGGAATGCTTAACGTCCCGGCTCAACTCGCTGTCCAAGCTTCCGTTCCTAGTCATCAAAACGTCGCTGTCGCAACAGCCGTTTACTTGACTTGTGTGGAGATGGGTGGTGCTGTTGGAAGTGCCATTGCTGGCGTTATCTGGGGTCACGATATTCCCAAGAAATTGGCCAAATACTCCTCCACTATCGATAGCAAGGCCGTTTACAATAGTATTACCAACGCTCTCGCGTATCCTATGGGAACACCTGAGAGAATTGCAATCAACAGGGCGTATCAAGAGACTATGCAAAAATTGCTCATCGTGGCGCTCTGTGTGAGTGCACCGATTGTGGTTTTGTCTTTGGTGATTAAGAATGCCAAGCTTGATACAGAAAAGGATAAGGTCAAGGGGAGAGTTATCGGAGGTACAGTGGAGAATAAAGAATAAGCAGTCTTGATTTAATGCATTCAAGAGGCGAGGAAACGACATAATGAATAAGAATCTTAAAACAACTAAGATTGGTTCCAGAATTGGAGTTATGCTAGATGGCTAGACACGGAGTTAAATGGGAAGAATATGTCAATAATAGTAAGAAAATAAAAATTTAATGGTTCATCTCAATCGGATGAAGAAGCTTGAGTGTACAATTTTTAATTCAAATGTGAGGGTATATATTATGTATTGTGGGTGGTGGTGGCAGCAATAGTTGCGATACCGGTGTTGCGAATGAAGTCGAGGACCAGAGCATCAAGTGACTCTTTTCAATCGATCTTCCCTTTTCACCTAGTTCTGGTGCTCGTAATTCAGCATACGAATATAGCGGTCTCATGCTTCATTCCACTTCTTGTACACCTAAACGGGCTTTTCGTTCATTTGGAGAATAGTTTGACGATGAAAAGCTTCCAGGTCTCGCATTCGATTGAAATGTTCAAATCAATGAAAGCTCACATGCAGTCTACTATATTAATGGGACAAGAACAGATCCGTATAGGATAAACCCTGTTCAGAGCCATCGCTTTCTCCATAAAGACCGCATCAAAATCCCCTCAAGCCAAATCTTCTACTAACAACACCAGCCAAGACACCAAATGCCGAACCCCCAAGATGTCCCGCATGGCCGACTCCCGGTTGCCACCCGTTATTAAGGGCCAGAATACTATAGACAGCTCCTCCTCCTACCAAAAACCATGCCGGGATCCCTATGGGTACGAACATGAATTGCCAAGACACGTTGGGATGTTTTACCGCCAACATGGTAATTAGGCCTGATAAACTGCCAGACGCACCGCAACCCCGATCTATAGCATTTATAGAGCTTTTTTTCTGGTTGAATGGAAGACCGTGCTTCCATATGTATAGAGAGGCAAGGGAACATGTGACACCAGCGCCAGCCCAGATGGTTACGAAGGTGAGAGGGTTGACTAAAGGAGCCAT